AAATCCTGTACTACATAGTAAAATAAGCAGATCCTGGAAAGCCAAAATGAAATCCCTTTTGGTTTCTCTGGATAGTGAACAAGAATCGAGGTTACAGTGTTCATCTTTGGCTGGCTGCAGCTGCTGTGTTCTGCATTGGCTGTAATTGGCTGAGAGACTTTGCTTCTGTAGTGCTGCCTGTAGGATCACAGCGCATGCCAGGGAGGCTGGTGACTAATACTTAGCAATAGGCATGCATGCAAACTCCTGCTCACTCAGTGGCATATCACTCATTGTATAATGTGGTAATGGCTGGCAAATGTACAATCTTATGTGCAAATATGAAATGGAAATGTCTTTAAAAATATGTGAGTATAATTTAATTACTGTGCAGAACGTTTTAGAGGCTGTAAGTATGTTAAAAGTTGTTAAATCTTCCCTTTTTTATTATCTTTTTCCCCCCCTCCCACAATTTCAGTACGACTGGCTTAACTTGCATAAACAGATTTAATTATAAGTTAAAGATGTCAAACTTTATGTTCTTTGAATTATCGTGCTTTAATATGGATGCAGATATACAAACGGACACTTCTGGCACATTTATAAATGATTAAAGTTTTGATGCAAACTCCAGTGTGTCTACAAGAAACCATCAGATCACAATCCACGTAGCGTTTATGACCGCAGGCCAAAGATTGAAAAGTTGCCAGCTTCATGAAGGGGGTATATTTCCCCGACTGACCGCCAAGTCGCACCCCAGGCATGTGTGGCTGCGCTGAGCGGGGGTTTTCCCCTCATAGCCGAGAGGTTTGCTGGACGAGGACCCAGAACAAAATGGTGCACTGTTTGTTTGCAGTTGATGCATTAGAAACTTTTCAATTTACTCACATAATTGTGGCCAAAACTATTCATCACTACATACGTGGCCTCTCTAGTCTTCTGCATTATTTCAGCTTCCATCGTTTAATACTTAGGTAAGGTGAAAAAACGTGTTTCATGTCATGATGGGATATCAGACGGTTTTTGCCTTTGATTTTAAAAAACAGTATGCGTATTGCAGCTCTTGGTTAATCTTCTCTAAAGTTTTGGCTTGATCACAGTGTTTCAATTCACAGTAGTTGCACATTAATAGATTACTAATTTGCTACAAATGGTTAATCCTGGCTTCAAATCCAGTTTAGTTCAAATCATGCTGGGCTTGTTGCAAATGGCTC